AGCGGGTGCGAGGCAGGCACATAGGGTCGGGCGGAGACAGCCCTCAAAGGGTTCAGGGCCCGAGGAACCCACATTATGGGCAACGGAAATGGCGCAGGAATGGCCGGTAGGACACAGAGGAAGGACAACCGCGGAGCCCCAGGAAAGGGACCCAGAAAAAGCTCTTCAATAGACCGGCAGAGGGAAGACAGATGAACAGGTCACTGATGCTCACCTGCAGAGCATGCACTAACGTGGACAGAGCCCCAGAGAGGGCTGGGAAGGGGCAGGAGAGACTGGGGAAGGGGCGAGAAACACAGCAGGTCTGGACACAGAGACAGAGTGGAGCGAGGCTGCTCACACACGTCCTCGCGGGAGCTGTTCAGCATGTGTTGACCAGAGGAAAATGCAAAGGAAATTACCCCAGAGTGGGACAGGGTCAGGGAAAGTGGCAGAGATGACACGCTGTCAGACAGCCCTCCACACACACGCACCTCTTTGTGAATGCTCGCACGGCCAGAGCAGGTTTCAGAAGTGCCTTGGAGACAGGGTGAGAACAGGCGGGAAGAGGGAGAAGGGAGAGTGTCACACACACACACACACACACACACACACACACGCATACACACACACGGCCAGACAGGAGCAACCGCCGTGGAGGCAAACCCCTCGGCAGAGGGCAATGACCCCCCATCTGGAGGGAAGGCAGCCACTATTCACGCCATCTGCAGAGACCCCACAGCCTCAGGGAAGACAGCAGGCAGAGCCCTGTGGGCCATCTAAGGGGAACCTGCCAAGAGCTGGGGGTGAGGGGGTGGACGGGAGGTGGGGTGACCACCCAGCCTTGGGGAAGCTCGTGTAGGACACGCTTGTGGCCGTCTTCATAGGAAAACCCACTGTGCTGGAGCAGTAACTCACAGAGATCAGCTAAAGCCAAGAGGCAGAGACAGAGACAGAGACAAAGAGAGATGCAGACATAGAGACACATAAAGAGAGAACACAGGACAAAGCCAGAGACACAGGAGTGGAAACAGAGACAGGAAAACAGAACGAGAGAAAGATGATGAGGTGTGGCCATCCCAGGCTGGCAGCCTCCTGAGCAGCAGGGCAGGGAGTCCAGGGAAGGACAGGCGGAGGACAGCAGAAGAGAGAAAGAAGTGTGTTAGTAAATGTCCCAGTCCCTTGGCGCGGCCCACACTGGATTCAGGCAGCAGCAAGGGGCCACAGGCCACAGACGCCCCACGGGCACCCCAACCCCCTGCCGTGCACTGTACAACCACACAACACGCACACACTGCACACAACCTGGAGAGGAGAGCGGGAGAAGACTCGGTGCAGGGGGCGCAGAGGGAGGATCAGGACCCAAGGAAACACACACCCACATGCAATTGCGTATCACAGAAAAGGAGAATGACCCAATCCCTGCCCCACCCCTGGGAAGGCAGGAACACATCCCACTCCACCCCACCCACTCCCTCCACTCAGGCCCTAGCTAGACTCCCCGCTCTCTGGACAAGCGCAGGACCTGTCCTTCCTACGGCCTCGTGCCCTTCTGCATGTGTGCTGTTCAACAGCAGGTAGCTTGTGGGAGCTGGACCCCAGCTGACCCTCCTCACCCCAGGACCCCTAGCCCTCACACCAGGGTCACAACAGTAGCAGTGGCTGGCCGGGGATTTAGCTCAGCGAAATAGTATCTGCCTGCTAAGTGCAAGGATGTGAGTTCTATCCCAGGTACAAAAAAACCCAAAACAAACAAACAAAAAAACAATAGCTGGACACTCAGCAAGGGAACAAACCAGCAACTGGCGAGTGTGGATGGGTGAAGGCTTGTGCACCTGTGGAGGTAAAGCTGGGAACGTCAGGGTAAGAGAGCAGGGGAGAGGGGAGGTGGGAGAGAGGGAGGCGCAGGGCACAGGGAGGGGAGAGCACAGAGCACTGCAAGTGGGTCAGGAAGTGAGCAAGTGAGGAACACACACACACACACACACACACACACACACACACAGAGCTAGGCGGCAGCAGCTGCTCACAGAGAGTGTGCTGGGAAGAGCCATGAAGGCGAAAGGAAACAAATCCCCAGCCCAGCAACGAGCCCCAAAGCTGGAGCAAGAGGAGGGAGGTGGGCCAGGGCATGGGGAGACCCACACTGGAACTCTGAGGGAAGGAGCAGACAGACCTGCTGGGTGAGAGACAGACGGAGGGAGGTGAGCGCACACTCCCAGGCCCTCTCACAGGGTGGACCACAGGCGGGCACAGAACGGGGCAGAGACAGCGAGGTCAGTGGGCACAGAGGACACACAGTTGGCACCAGCAGCACAGGCCCAGGCCAGAAGAGGCAATCAGCAAATCAGCCCATGAGAATTTAAGGGGCCTGGAAAATGTTTAAATTTCTCTTAAAATCAGAAGAAAAACCTTATTTCAAAGGAAAAAAAAAAATATATATATATTTCAGGACTGGAAATGGAACCCAACACCTTGCCCACATTAGGCCAGCCTTCTACAAAGGAGCCGCATCCCCCGCCCCACAAAACGTTTTAATAACATTAATATAGTCACCTTTGTACTGATGTTGTCAAACATTTAATTTGCTCTTGTGGAAGAAAAGCCTACAAAAGTCCTAATGAGAGCTGTGAATGAGAGTCCGGCCTGGGCGTGCGGGAAAGACAGGGCAAGGTCAGGACAGAGCTGGGTGCAGGAGCCCCGACACTAAGGGATCCGGGACTGGGACCACGGTGGGGGGGGGGTGCCTAAAGATAAAGGGAAGCCAGCGAGGATTCAGGGCCTGGCTGGAGCCAGCTGGAGAGGGCGAGGGAGACAAAGGGCCTGAGCAGGGAAGGAGGGGTGACGGGCTCAGACAGCAGGCAGGCAAGAGGCCCATTGCTGGAGGCAGGCGGGGCTGGGAGGGGAGGCTCTGCCACAGGACTGCAGGGCAGGCCGAGTTGAGGAGGCCGTGCAGGGGATGTGGAAGGGAAACCACGGCTGAGGCCAGCCCCGAGTCTGAGGCTGGAGGGCGTGCAGGGCTGCAAGTGGAGCTGGGACGGGGGCTGCTGAACAAGAGTCACACACACAGGGCTGGCACAAGCTCAGGGGCAGGGCATTAGCAGGGCCCTGGGTCCCATACCCAGTGGCAGAGAGAGAGAGATGCACGCACAGACAGGTGACAGGTGCGTACACAGATGCACACACACCAGCAAGCATGGGATGGATCAGTCTCTGCTGGTCTCTTTTTCTCCCTGCAAACCAAAGCTTTTGGAACATGCAAAAGAGAAACAGGCAAAGATGACAGAGAGGAGAGAAAACGCAGCGTGTTGTGTATGTGCATGCCTGGCGCGGGGTGCACCACATGAACACCCAGAACAAGGTCTGGTCAGGAGAATTCACAGGGGAGCGAAGATGGGCAAGGAGCCATGTGAGCAGCCAGGGAAGCAGTGTACACATGCCACACGGCGCATACACACCACGCACCCAACACAGGCTGTGCAGCACCGGAGGGAGATCAGTAAAACCCGGGAAAAAAAGGAGGCAGGAAGAGTGAGACAGATCCCAGGCAGATTCCTGCTTCACAGGTTCACAAGCAAGTGCCACACTTCACACGCACATGCCTGCACACAGAGGCCAAGATAGTACTCTCGGTGCCACGGAGGTCGTCTTATAGGGAGGGGACCAGGGCCTCCCCACTGAACTACACGCCAGGCCCCGGGTGAGTCTGAACTTTTGCCTTGGCCTCCTGAGTGCGAGGGTTACAGGCATGTGCCACTACCCCCAGCCAGGGAAACCCTGGATCTGGGTTTTCCTGTGTGACTGTGTGTGGAAGTCGGACGTGGAGAGCTGGACAGGAAAGAAAACCTGAGAGAGAAAGAGGGGAAGAGCTGGAGAAACACCATCGTAGGGAGGCACAGAAGATGCAGACCTGCAACAGCGGGACACACACAGGCAAAAGGTCAGAGGCTTGGAGAGACAGGCCAAGAAATGAGAGGGACTTAGCCAGAGGGACAAAAGGAGTATTAAATGTCAACACAGCGTACTGGAGGGCTAGGAGGACAGAGAGGAGGAAGAGAAAAGCTCCACTCTGTGGACAGATGACTGTAAAGCTGGGCCCCATGGAAAGCATCTCCCAGGTACATTTCTCCCCCAGGTTTGCCCCCACCACGTTAGCAAGATAAGCCTCTGATGCAGCCCTACAACATGGGGTGTGCACCTGAGCCTACCCCGAGAGCACACCTCTGGGCACCCACCGCCCCACACGCACCCACTCGGCTTTTGCCAGGGCAACACACACATCCTGCATGCATGGCCTGAGCAAACTCCACGCCCCGGTTTCCCAACAGTGGGGGACACAGCCTGGACACACACACGACCTGGACCCAGGCTCTAGCACAAGCATCCAAACTGCACATCTGTGAGCAGACTCTGACACTCAGAAGCACACAGGCCTGCAGTCACCCATCATGCGGCCAGAGGACAGCAGCCACAATTCTGTGTTCCAGTCCCGCTCCCACAACACTGGGACCTGGGGCTTCAGCTGCCCTGCACACTGTAGTGTTTGGCTTGTGAAAACGTCCAGCGCTGACACTTGCTTTTAATTAAGCACTGTTGCAGAGGCCAGAGGAGGCTGCGTGCACAGCTGAGGCTGATATAAGACCCTCCCACGGACTGTGGCCACTCACCTTTCCAGGCTGTGTCCCCAGTGCTGCGGTAGGAGGTGGCTTTGCCTCGGAGTGCTGGGGTCCTTGCCACCACACCCTGCCTGGCATGCCAGGAAACACGCGAACCTAGGCTGCACCTAGGCTGTTCGGGCCTGGGGTTAGGCCTGGTGCTTCTCCCAAACACAACACAGGTCCACACGGTCCACACGGCCACCTCCCCTAGGGCTGCCCCAGATCTGATCAAGTCCCCACTGCCTGGTGCAGAGCCCTTTCAGCTTCCAGCGGTGTGGAACAAAAGGCTCCAACTACAGCGTATTCACAGCCCACCCCTCACTTCCCCACACACTGTGGGTGCTCAATAAACTGTAAACCACATTGAGGTCTGTTTGTGTTTAATCAGACAATATGCAAAGTATTTACAACCAATTTCTGACCCCCCCATCCCCCTTAAGCCTAGGCCAAGGAATGTAGGACCCCCAAGCCCTGCCCAGAGCCAGGGGTCCCCCAGGCCTCTGCATAGTCATCTGAAATCTACAAAACACTGTTTTAAAAAAAAATAGGACAGTACTAGGACACCTTACACAAAGGGCCCAGGGCAGTTGGAGGGGTTTGAGGGCACGTAGGGAAGTAAACCCAGATCTGACCCAGGTGGCAGGAGAAGACGTGAGTGATGAGCACAAAGGGCGGGGAATGTGGGGACCCACTGGCAGGCACCACTTGGCCTCCTTCCCCAGTGCCAAACCCAGGCTGGTTCAAGGGCCCCTGGCAAGGGGGATGTTATTGCTGTGATGGGGGCAGTGGTGAAATGTACAACACGTGTGGGGAACAGGGCTGGGGCAGGTTTTACATGTTAAATATGGACACACATGGAGACACACACAGATGTACTCATACACACACAAACACACACACATACACACACAGATGGGCTCTTGGCAGGATGCCACTGTCAGCTGCCCGTTTTACAGATGGCCACACTGAGGCCCAGGAGGACACCACCACATACCCTAAGGCTGAACAGCAGAGCCAGGACCCAGTCTCCCAGCCTGCTACTGTCGAGGGCTGTGCTTGCCATGGGTTCCTGCCACAGGGGCTGAGCAGCTACAGAGGCCATGGACACATACGGGGCAGAAGTCACAACTCACAGACAAAACAGGGCCCGGAAGTCACGCAACAGTGTGTGCCAGAGGGCACCCTTGCCCTCTCTGACCCCAGCCAGGGCACCCCTCTCCCTACTCATGATTCTGGGGTTCCCATTCGGGGAGGAGAACAGAGGCCACTTTTGAAATGCTCAGGACAAGCTAGGGGTTGGAGGACCTGCGGTTCCCTCCTGAGCCTAGGGCCAGGGCCACCCAGCCTAGCTCTTTGACCTCTACTTGATTGCCTCCGGAGCCTGGGTGCTTACTGCCTCTCATGGCTGGCTGACTCTAGAGGCAAAGCCACCCACTCTGCCTGGAGCCTGCTCTCCCCACCTTCACCTCCACCGCCTTCCAGCTCAGTCTCACAGCAGCCCACTCTCTTCCTGGCCAACAGGCTGCTGAGCCAAGCGCACAAGGACAGTGCAACTCTGCTATCTTTAACCTTGAGGTCCCTTGTCCTCTGGGCTGCCCCCATCTGAGATGCCTCTGAAGACAATTCTCGTTGGTTCCTGAGGAAGACAGACTGAGCACCAGTACCAAGCCCACCACCTCAACCCTGACCTGCTCTGTGGCCTTGGGCAAGTTGCATCCCCTGTCTGGACTCAGTTTCCCCATGGGAAAAAGGGAGAAAGGAATGGATGATCTCCCAGAGTCCCCAGGGTGGAAGGAGGGCAGAGCTGGAGGGGGTCCTCATCCCATCTGCCACCACTGAGCCGTGCTGGGCTGTGTGCTCCCCGACGGAGGGGTCTGGACCCTGCAGCCTCCGCCCACAGACGTGCCCACAAAGGACAGCAGGGCAGAGCTGCCGCTGAGGCCCAGGCCCATCACTCCTCTTTGGAAAGGCTCTTTGGCCAGCTCACAAGACGGACCCAGGGCGTCCAAAGGAGCGGTCAGGCACAGGCAGCAGGTGGAGGCGAGAAAGGGCATCTGGCCCCTTTCCCAGGTCCTCTCTGGTGACAGGCAGAGCTCCGGAGGAACGAAGAGGTGTGTGGCCACAGCAGCGCCGGACAGTCCCTGTGCTGGCCGCAGACCCACGGACCCGAAGCCCTTCCGTGTGCCCAAAGACAGAAAGGTCTCATCCCTGGCAATTCATCCCCAGGAGAGGGTCGACAGCGGCAGGAGGACCACCCAGGACCCAGCCAGGCAGGGCAGCCTGCCCTATAGGTTCTCCCCGGGCTGGTACTGCGGCTCGGTGGACGTGAAGTAGTCTTCCAGGAAGGCCTGTAGGTACTCAAAGGTGGGCCGCTCCTCTGGCTCCTTCCGCCAGCACTGGCACATGAGGTCGTGCAGGGACTCGGGGCACTCGGGTGGGCAGGGCATGCGGTAGCCCCGCTCCACCTGGTCCAGCACCTCTCGGTTCACCATCCCTGTGGGCACAGGAAGCATGAGGAGCTTGGCTCCAGGAAGGAACAGAGGGAGTGGCAGGGTAAGAGGGCTTCCCACCTAGGACAGGTAGGGCCCCAGGGTAAGCAAGGCCCTCAGACCGAGGCCCTGCTGTACAGAGCTAAGATCAGACGCTTAGCCGCTTCATTATACAGATGGGGAAACCGAGGGAGGGGTGAGTACTGCCGCAGACCACCAGGCTGAGGGGCTCAAGGACCCCTGATGGGCCATGCGGCCCCTTCTCACCAGGGTAGGGCACCCGGCCCTTCGTCGTGAGCTCAGTCAGCAGGATGCCAAAGGACCACACATCGGACTTGATGGTGAAGCGGCCGTAGAGGGCAGCTTCCGGGGCCGTCCACTTGATGGGGAACTTGGCACCTGCAGGGGAGGAAGGGCAGGAGTGCTCAGCAGTGCATCCCCAGCTCCGCCACAGATGAGGAAACCGGGGCTTAGACCAGAGCGGGGACCTGCCCGGTCACAAGGCCGTGCCCCTGCCCACCTTGCCGGGCCGTGTACTCATTGTCTTCGATGAGCCGGGCCAGCCCGAAGTCAGCCACTTTGCACACCAGGTTCTCCCCGACCAGGATGTTGGCGGCACGCAGGTCCCGGTGGACGTAGTTCATCCGCTCCACATACGCCATGCCCGAGGCAATCTGTAGGCAGCACCCAGGTATCTATCTGCTCAGAGGCTGCACCCACACCCCTGGGCCACAGGCTTGGGGTCCTTCCCAGGGCTGCAGAGCCACCTATACTGTCTGCCTTCCCCACTTCTTCCAGCAGGAGAAGTCAGCTCACAGTAAACACCCCTGGTTTACGAAGCAGGACCAGTGCCCTACGTGAAGAGCATGTATAGGTAATGGAATGTCTCATGGTAAGAAGCAGCCAGGGAGGTGGCGTGATCATGACAAAGTGGCACCAGATGACCCATAGAGATAATGATAGGTCCTGCCAGCTGTCTCAAGTCCCTTGTCTGAGCCTGTTTTCACATCCATCCAATCTCTACCTCTCCTGATTTGGATCAAGATTAAATGAAAAAAAGATCTCGAGATTGGCCCAATACTTGAGTGACTTAATGATCTTTACAGAGAAAAGAACTGAGGCCAGAGGTCTCACAGCAGGTCAGTGGCTGCTGCCGCCCAGGTAAGGTCCTCTGTCCAGAACCACCACTCAAGGCACCTATTAGTGGCTCCAGTAATCCAAGTGGGAAGAGGAGTATGGGGAAATCAAGGCAGGCCTCCTGGAGGGGGTTCTCAAGAGGCCCCAACTGGCTGAGCCAGGGGAACCTGGGTGTTCTAAGGGCAGGTTGGAGATGCAGGAGGGGCCACCTCACCTGAGCAGCCATGTCCACCAGCTGAGGCAGCCGCAGGTACTTGCCCGTTTCCCCCTTGAGAAAGTCCAGCAAACTCCCTGGGAAAAAGAGAGCCAGCTCGTCTGCCCTGTCCTTCCCCTGGCAAGACGCAGCGACTCCTGACTCCTGCGCCCCAGCCCATGCTGGCTTTGCCGCACCAGCACAGGAGATTTGACAGCGGCAAGCCGGCTGCAGCCTCCCTCCGCAGGTGCCACTCACAGGACGGGAAGGAGCCCACCGCCCGCCCGTGGAGGAGACGGACAGGGAGCGTGTGCGCAGCCAGATCCTACTTGGCAACAAAGAGAGAGCAGCTAGCTGGTGTGTGGTGCGTGACTGCAGGCCCAGCACTCTGGGCCTCCAAAGTTCAAGCCCAGCCTGGGCAACTGTGTGATGAAAATTGCAGAGTAAATGCAAGGCCACCACAACACAAAGCAGATCAGAGCTCATCTGGGCTTGGGGCGCCAGATACTGCTGTTCACCAAGGCGAACAGGGAATTTTCTGGGTGAAGGAGACACTGTATGTCTTTTTTTTTTTTTATCGGTACCAGGGATCGAACTCACGACTACCTGCTTGCAAGGCAGGCGCTTATGCCGCTGAGCTAAATCCTCAGCCCCGACATTGTATGTCTTGATTGGTTAAAACTCATTCAGTTGGACACTTAAAATAAAGTGTATTTTATCACATGTTTTAAAAATGGAATTTAAATAATTTTTTTTTAAATAATAAGTTCATAGCTGGGCACAGAGGTGCACACCTGTAATCCCAGCATTCAGGAGGCTGAGGCAAGAGGATTACTGTGAGTTCAAGGCCAGTCTGGTCTACATTGTAAGACCCTGTCTCAAAAATAAATAAATAAATAAAAATAAAGTCAATGTCTAGGCCCTGGCTCGAGTTGGAGGGCTGAAGAGTTCTCTTTTAGCCTGAGAACAGCAAATAGCGCTAGAAAACCAGCAAAAATGCGCGGTGAGAAACCACTGAGGACATAGTGAGAGAAAGACAGTCTGCGTAAGTTCCTACCGACATGTGGATTTGATCCTGTCCACGCCACCCGGAAAGGCACTGGGGGACTGGCACAGTGCACATGCTGGTAACCCCAGCACTCGGTGGGGGGAAGGGGCACAAGGTCAACCTCAGCCCGGGCAATTTTGTGGCTCAGGAAGACCCTCTTTCAAAATAAAAAGGGACTGGGGATAAACTCAGTGCGAAGGCCGTGGGTTCGGTCTCCAATACCAAAAAAGAAAAACAGAAACACTTTGGCGAGGTGGGGAGACCTCACCTTGCCGGGCATTGCCCCTGGCAGTCACCCTGGGTGTGGGGGGTCCCCTTGGCCAGCCACCCAGGCCTCACCCTTGCTCATGTACTCCGTGACAATGTAGATGGGCTCCTCAGACACCACGGCATACAGCTGCACCAGCTTCTCGTGCCTCAGTTTCTTCATGACCTGGGCCTCCTGCAGGAAGGCCTCTGGAGACATGGTGCCCGGCTTCAGGGTCTTGATGGCCACCCTGGTGGTGCCGTTCCAGGTTCCTGCAAAGCAGGTACAAAGTCTGCCTCAGTGGAGGCCCCACTCTTGCTGCCTGGGGGCCAGGCTCCTTGTGAACCTCAATATCTCCATCCATAAAATGGATGCAAGAATGAGGCACGCCTCACGGGGTTGTTACAGGCTGAAATGAGCTTCCAGCACTGTTCACAAAACAGGAGTTGAATCAGGACTTGGATTATGGGGACTGCCCCCCAAAAGCACACAGCAACCTGACAGACACAGACCACAGTTCCAATTCAATGGCATCTCCTGGGCACCATGTCCTGCCAGCTACAGTATGGAAGACACCCACTATGAGCAAAAGGATGTGTCCTGTGGGGATCAGCGGGGAGGTGAGCTGGGTGAGGGCCACTGTGGCCATCAGAGCCTGCACATCCTGAGAAGCAAGCTGCTGCACCAGAGGGAGGAGTCAGCTCGGCCCAGCCTGGCTCCAGGAGGCCAGGGTGAGTTGGGTTCCCCCAGCCTGTTTCCTCATCTGTGCTGACTTGGGGGGCTCACTGAGGATTCGGGGAGACTTCAGCCACTGGGCCAACCCCACCAAGGCTCGCTGAGTGAGTGCAGCTCACCCGCTACATGAGGACCAGGGTCTCCATCAAGGAGTAGTAGGTGACCACTAGAGGGCCACGCTGGGGAGCTCTGCATTTAGGAGTGGGCCCCTCTCTCCATAGAGACAACTAAAAGGAGAGGGACCCCAGGAGCCTTGAGCTGCCTTCCAGGACACAGCCCTGCCTGTTCTGAGACGACCACACCGAAGCCCGCCCCCCAGGGCCACGCTCCTTACCCATCCACACCTCCCCGAAGCAGCCCTGGCCCAGCTTCACCTCCAGCCGCAAGGACTCCCGGGGGATCTCCCAGGCATCCTTGGCCAGGCCCTGGGTCTGGGGCTTGGACGTGGGGCACACGGTGGTGAGGCGATGACACAGGCCGTCAGCATGTTCTGTAGAGGAAGCAGGGAGCAGGGCTTACCCGGGCACGTGGGTGTGCTCACAGGACGCCCTCTGAGGAGGGTGCCCACATGTCTGCACCCACCTCACACAGGCCCCTTGGCCTTGTGCACAGCTCCTTCCCTCGTAGGGCTTGAAGGGTACCAGGAGGCAAGCACATGTAGCTGCCCATAGGGAGCTCACAGCCCAAAAGGAGCCGACTTTCCCTAGCCACCCTCCAGGACTACGAAATGACCAAGGAGAGTTGTGTATGCATGAGAATGAGGAGGAGGCTGGACACCAGGGGCTGGCAGCTCTTGGGTCTCAACCCTGGCGTGTCAAGACAGCCCCTGAAGGGTGGGTCTGGGGAACAGGGCTAAGCATTCACCCCAGAGTAGTGACCGGCCTAGAGGAAGATAGGCAGCTCAGGTAAGAAGAGGAGGTGCCAGGTAGGAGATGGGCCACACAGGCACACACAGGCCCCTGTAAATCCAGACAGGTGGCCCCCGCTGCAGCATCCAGCACCTGCCCTGTGCCACCAGCACCTTGGCTCAGGTGCTCTTTCTGCCACCCTCCCCCGTCCAGTTTTGCTGTCATCAGTGTAGCTGTCCCTCCTCCTGCTCTCCCAGTAACGGGTGCACACACACCCTGGGGCTGCAGAGACAGCATCAGCCCATATGTCCTCCCTTCCAGCTCTTGCAAAGCAGCCCCCTCCTCACCAGCCAGTTGCAGAGGAGGGGGCGGGGTGGGCAGGGGCTCACGGAAAAAGAGGAGGAGGAGGAAAGACAGGGGTAGGGGCAGTAGGCAGTGGCCATGGTGGGCAGGTGACAGGTACATCCTCAGGAGAATTTAAGCCCCTGGCTAGTGATGCCAGGGTCCCTCCCAGGGTCTGCAGCTGAGGCCGAGGGTGTCCCCAGAGCTCACTGGAGTAATAGGCGACAAGCTGCTGCAGGCTGTTGAACTGGGTGCGTGAAGTGATGTAGAAGCCGCCACTGTCCAACTTGCGGATTTTGTAGTGCTTCACATTGAGGCCCTTGGCATTGTCAAAGTCGGACACAGAGAGGCAGTAGGCACCTGGGGACACAGCCAAGGAATGGGATCGCGATCACTACACCATCACCTCCGTAGGCCACAGCCCTGAGTGCTGCCTGAGCACTGTGTCCTGCTTGCCCAACACTCAGGGTAGCCCCAAAGCCACCCCATCTCTCTGTACCTGCCTCAGGGACAGCCATCAAGGCACAGCCCAGTGAGTAACAGTCTGCCCAAAACCTTGGCCCAAGTCCTGGGTGTGCAGCCCAACTCTGTGTCTTTAACAAGTTGCCTGCCCACTCTGGGCCTCAGTTTCTTCCTCCACATAGCAGAGATTGCTCCTAGGGCTGCCAGAAAGATTCGATACAGCTATGTAGAAGAGTGTCTGGGACACAGGTAGGCATTCGACAAATGTTAGCTGGGAGGATGGGGTGGCCTGCAGACTGCCGAGGCCAAGCCTCCCGAGGCAAGAGAAGCTCTCACTGAAAAGAGACTCCATCTGGCAGGCACACCTGGCTAGGACCCTCTGTCAACTGGAGCCCAGAGGCACCTGGGTGCCAGCAAGGAACAAGATTGAGCCCTGGTGACAGGTCACAGGCTCCAAGATCAGAGAAGGCGCTGCTCAGGAACCTCCAGGCAGTTTGCAGCCATGGGGTGGAAGGCCAGCCCCAAGGCCCTGGGACCTCCCTCTGGACAGTCCTCAGTGGAACAGGACATCCCAGTATAGGGAAGGAAAAATGAGAGAAAGCATGAGACCCAGGTCACCCGGCAAGTCAGACCCAGAGATGGGACCTGAACCCATACCCAGGTGTCCACAGGCTGCACTGGGCAGCCCAGTACACAGCAGATGGCTCAGGCTATGTGTACCAGAGGCCACACACAGGCCTGTGGCTGACAGCAGCCCTGTGACACACATGCAGGGGAATGCAAGCCCAGTGGCTGCGTGCTCACTGCTATGCACACGCCCTGCCACCCCGGCGACACATGGCCAATCCCACCCTATGTGCACATACACTCGGCCCTTTGCACAGCACAGAAGTGTGTCCAGCCGCACACCTGCTCATAATGCACAGGCAGGACATGGACCCTCCGTTTTCCCAGCTCCCACCAAGCCCTGGGCCCTCAGGAAGCAGCCCAGGTTGGTTGCCATAGTGATGGTGCCTGCAGCCCACTTGCCAAGGGGATGGTGAGAAGGGGGATGCTCTTCACTGTCGCTGGGGGAGGGGCAGAGAGGAGTGAGCTAGGACTATGTGGGGAAGAGGGAAGCCAGAGGTCCCTGGGGAGAAGGGAGGGGTGCGTTGTACCAGCACCCACCCTGGGAAGCAGTCTTCTGCTGGGTGGCACTAAGACCTCCTGCTGACCAGTGCTCATCCCTTCCCTGGGCAGCTAAGTCCAGAGAAACAAAACCTCATCTTTCACTGTCCCTCTCACCCCCCAGATTACGCTCATGATCCCTCAAATACACCTCCTCGACTTTGATTCTGCTGTTTCTTCCACATAAGGGGCTCTTCCTGCTCTGTATTCCAAACTACTATTCATTCTGCAGCGCCAGCTCGAACATCTGAAGAGAGCACGGCTTTCGGCAGCGCCTACCTTTTGTGGTCTCACTTTCTCGCACCAGGAAGGTCCCTCTCGGGTTCTCCGCGTTGAGCAGCAAGCGCTCTGACTCCCGCCTGGTGATCTTGCCGAAGTACCACCTGGGCGGGAGGGGACGAATGCGGCATCAGTGGCGCAGGCCACTGCCAACAGCTCCTCCCCAGGACGGGCCTGGGCTGCCGGCCTCCCACTCCTGCAGACAGGCAGGCAGGAGTGGCCAGGGGACAATACTCACTCCTCAGCCTGGATAGAGTCGGAGGGCGCCACATAGTTGCTGGGGATGTAGCCTGTCTGGCCCGTGCTGAGCGAGTGTGCCAGCCACCAGTCTCCCTCTCTGGGCAGGTGGAGAAGGAGCAAAGAAGAAAGGGCCATCGTCAGCGTGTCCAGGTGCCTGTCCTCGCCCCAGGTACTGTGCCAGCGGAAGCCAGTGAGGCACAAGGGGGCCATGGCCCTTGGCCTAGAATTTGTCCCCACCGGGCCCAGATGCCCCTGACAAAGCTGGCTCAGATGAGCTAGCCGTGCAGCAGGACTGAGCTTGGTCAGCTGAGGCCCCGCTCCACAGAGGCACGGTCCCGGGACAGGAAGTTAGCACTCTTGTAGATGTACTAAGGCCCCTCAAGATGTTAAGGGTGCCCTGGGAGGGAGCTCCCCGTCTCTGGGGACAAGCGACATTGTATCTGAGAGAAGATGCCTGTCAGAGACGGATGTCAACTGGACTGGCAAAGTCTACCCGGCACTGAGACTCAGAAGCCCCGAGCTGAGGGCTGGTGAGACCCTGGGAGAGGCAAGGGGTAGCCCAGAGACAGTCCAGGCACCAAACCAGAACCTACAGTAGCAATGCTCGCCTGTGTCACAAATCACAGGTCATACCCAAAGGTCCTAGGCCGGAACTACAGACCTCTTCCCGCAGCCTACCCATGTGCAGGAGGAACTGAGGCCGGAGGGGGCTAGGACCTGCACAAAGTCACACAGTGAGTCATGGGTAGGGGGTTAAGGCGGCAGAGCTCTGGGACAGGGCACTTCTGTGCTGACTGCCTCGCCAAGAGGAGGTGATGGACAGGGGCAGCTGGGTTAGGTCCCTGGGTCAGGGCGTGGGGGAGGGGCGGAAGTACCTTTGCAGCCATCTGAATGTGAACCAGGTCTGGCTGGAGCAGGGGTCCAGAAACAGAGGAGGGAGGAGCAAGCGACAGCCGGACAGGAGAGAAGAGGCAGAGATGGGGGTGGTGAGAGGCAGCGTGGCAGAAAGAGCCAAGAGAGAGCGGGAAAGCCAGGCGGTGCTGGGCAAGGGGGCGAGGGGCAGCCACAGAGGCCTCACATCCAAAGCAATCAAAGGGGACAGGAGAGGGTCCGTGGGGGGTGAGGGAGTGACACCGGCAGGGCAGCTGAGGACTAGGGGCAACCCCGCCCTTTCCCCCTATCCAGATGGGAAGACTGAGGCCAGGGAAGCAAAGGCCTCAGCTCAGTGCAGAGGACTGGCTGGCCTGCTGCGCTGTCTCCATTGAGGACCCTGAGAAGATACGCAGCAGCCCCACCCCAAGCCCTGAGAGACCCCTGCCTGCAGCAACACGGTCTGAACTTGAACCTGGCCGGATCCCACGCTCTCGGTTCTTCTGAGTTGTCCCTAGCCATATTGTTCAGCCCATTTAAGGATGCAGAAGTTGAAGTCAAGACAAAGCAGGGCTTGGGGAGCTCTCTGGGGACCCACCAGAGGAGAGTGAGCCTCCAGGTAAGGATTGGCAGGATGGGCTGAGGCTGGGGCGGGGAGGAGTTCCAGATGGAGCCAGGCCAAAAGGGTCCACGTGAGGCTGAGTGATGTGACAACTGCACACAGGCAGGTGTAGGCTCAGACAGAGGTCCTGGCCCCAAACCCCCTCAAACCCTCTGTGTACCCCCTGGTGGCATTCACATTTTTTTCTGTCCCCTTTGACCCTCAAGCTCTTCTTGCAAGGGAGGAAGCAAGGTCCTGGGCCCCAGCTGAGGAAACTGGCTCAGAGATGCTTAAGGAGCAGCCCCAAACCAGCACTCTCTTTGTAGAGACGGGGAAACTGAGGCACAGAGCAAGGCAATGACTTGCCCAAAGCTACAAAGCAAAGACTAAAGTCACAAGAAACAGCTCTCTGGTAGCTTCCAGGCCAAAGACTTCCGTTGCCAGTGGAGAAAGTGAGGCACACAGAAGGGAATGATTTGCCCAAAGCTGCATGGCAAATCAATGGCCCAGCGGGGGTGAGAAGTGGGGCCCCTGAGTGCACCAGCAGACACGGCAGCCAGCCAGCCCCGGGCCTCACGGGAGCTGACACCCTCAGAGAAGCCAGCAGAAGATGCAGGGGCGGGGGGCACACCAAGACTGCGCCGGCATCTGAGGTCACAGGCTACACAGCAAGGCAGCTGGACAAAGCCATAGTCACAGCCCCCGCTTCTGAAGCATCCCGCCACCCACCAGGCAGAGCCAGCAGGAAGCAAACGCCTGACCACGCAGGGCTGAAGAAGCCAGGGGAGCTCAGCCAACAGCACCCAGCCCCCCAACTCAACATGGGGAATCTGGGGTCCACCACCCAGTGTCACGGGGCAGGACAGGGCAGGAATGACATCAGTTTTGCTGCACAACCACCAGCTGGGTTGGGAGCCAGGTTGTCCAGTGTGGCCGCTCCCTGCTGCCTGCGTGACCTCAGCCCCCCACACTATACGGTTGTGCCTCCCTCCAAAGAGGTAAAATGCCAAACGGGCCCAGTGACGACGACGTAGTAACAGGCATGAGCTGTTAGTATCATGCTGAAAAATAAATAAACCACTAAATCTGCTTGCCTAGTGGGGCCTCCCTACTCTCCAAATACTCTCTTAAACCCAAAACAACACAGTTCTAGCCCCAAAGCTTTGCTGTGTGACCCTGAGGAAGTAGCACACCCTCTCGGGGGCTCAGTCCCCTTGCCTGTGAAGAGGAGGCGACATTCACAGACCCTCCCTTGTGGGCATTGCTGAGCTGAGCTGAGACTGTTTCCCTGAAGCGTACTGCCCACCTTCCCACGCCAAGGCCCTGGGAGATTCGAGCTTGCCTGTGCCAAGGGCCAGCCCTGCTCTCACACAAGTGGTTGGTCCTACCTATCCCAGACGGGTCCAATCAGGCAGGGAAAAAGGAAAGGGACCACACCTCCCTTGCCTCCCCCTTACCTGCCACCCATGACCAAGAAAGAGTGCTGGACCAGGAGTCCCCAGCCTGCGACCTTACACCCCAGCTGCTACTCACTAGCTGTGTGACCTCCGCTCTCAGAGCCTCGGGATCCTCTTTTTGGGCCCTAATCCTTGTGTCTCTAGTCCTTGTGGACCAAGGGTGTGGCTGCTCGGAAACCTGGGACACAATGGCAGTTTGAGTGGTGACATTCACACTCAGGCTATTGGAACTGGTCTACGACGCACTTTGGGAACCACATGCGTGGTCAGTGGACCCCAGGCAGGCATCAGGAAGTCAGGTGTCCAAACACGGGGCCTGGGCAAAGGATCAGTGGGCAAGGCAGGGTGAGGCCAGGCAGGCCTGGAAAGGAGGGTACAAAAGTAGGGTGCTCGACAGCCCGGGTGTTCTTAAATGCCCCTTGCCAGGCTGCCCAGGGAAGAAGCTGGCTGGCGTGTGGTGCCTGGTAGCAGCCACTGGAAAGCTGCCCAGAGATGCTGCTGAGGTCTGGGTGGCAGGGGGCACTGGATGCCAGGGGGCTTCCTCTGACCCAGGGCTAAGCAGCACCCAGGAGAGCAGTGCCTGGGGCCATTAGAATTGTAGACCTGGCCAAACGCAAACAGCCAGGCTCACCTTCCACACCCTGCCTGCCACCACCCAGCCCTGTGGCCACACGGGGCTCTGGAAAGGCCTTCATTCATCATGGGCAGGGGCACTAAGCAACGAAGGGCCCTAAGTAACACTGCAGGGACAGCACAGTGGTCCTTGGGGCAGCTATGAGACCCAACACCTCAAGTGTGGCCAGCTTCCCCTGAGCCCAGCCCCCAACTTTTTGTCTCCCCTTTTACTCTGATGCCAGCCTCAGCTTTGCCCCATCCAACTAGAGGCTGAAGGGTGGGTGAGCAATGACAGAGGGCTTGGCGTCTACTCCACACACCCTGCTGCATCCCACCAGGGACCCTCTGCCTGGCCAAGCAGCTGCCTGATTCTGGACTGCAGGAGGAAAGAGGGAACGGGCCAGACAAAAGGAGGGAAGTGTCACTGCCAAAGACAGCAGCAGGCTCAAAGTCCCTAAGCCTTTCCTGCCCCACACATCCATTCCAGCTGTGACCCCCAACCCCAGCCTGCCCCTGGCAGACTCCCCGTACTTCCGTCACTAACCCCATGCATCCCCCTGTCCAGGCTTTTCCTGCTCTGGGGTCCTGCAGGGATCCCGGCTGGAGAACCAGCCACCCCATCTCATTCCTCCCATACCAGCCATGTGACCCTGGGCAAGTCCTTTCACCTCCCCGGCCTCCAGTCCTTCATCTGTAAAATGTAGCAAGTAAGAGCTCCTGTTTCTTGCAGCACATAAGTAAAATCATTTGACTTCAAAGTGCTTGGCACAGGGGCCAGCTCACACTCAGGGCACAGCACATGTGACCGCCTCATTTAATTCTGCTCCATCAGCCTTTCCCCCAACACGGCTGGGCACTGTGTAAGCCAGGCAGCAGGTGACATGGGGACCCTGGAATGAGATGGATGAGAGAGCAGCCTTCGGGAGCTCCCTGTCTGGGGGCAGCAGATGACAGCAGGGTCAGTAAGAGAATGAAGCCACGCCTGGGCTCTGACACAGCGGGGCACAAGAGGGAGCCGGGGAAGCCCTCCCACCAGCGCAGTGTGGGGATCAGACAGAGCTGCTGCCCAAGTTCCAGCCCTGGCCACGTTCCTTGGCAGCCATATGACCTTGGACAAGGCCCCTTCACAACTCTGAGCCTCAGTTTCCTCATCTGCAAAATAGAGGCAGCCTCCCTCCCATCACTATTAGCCTGGAGGAATTATAGAAAGGGACACAGAGGAGGAGGTACAGGCACAGCACCTGGCACTTCTGTCCCCTCTGCCTGCACAGAAGGCAGACCTGCACTGGATCCTGAGGGATGAATGGGAGCTCACCAGGCAGGGGGAAGAAGGGTGTTCCAGGCAGAGGAAATGTCAGGTGCAGGGGAGAGAGGCCTGAACAGGCCAGACACGCTCAGCGACAGAGGACATGTCTGACCTCCTTACACAAGCCTTTGAGGACACACGCGATGACCCTCCTCTGCCCTCTAGAGGCTCCTGCCCTTCCACAGCCCTGGATTTCAGTCCCTGGCTCCTCACTTCCCGCACAGCCACCTGCACACAACTGCACTGTCCTTCCCTGGAGGCCCTGCTTGCCCCTTCCAGTTCCTGTGGCCAACTTCGAAGGGGGCACAGAGCACGACCCTCTGCCTGTCCCTGGAGCTGGACTGGGCAGCTGTGGGAGGCTCAGGACGCATCCACGGGGCCCTGCATGCCATGATGCTCAATGTGGGCTGACAGGTCAAGGAGGATGTGTGAGGTGAACAGTGGGGGGCCTGGTAAAACTAGGGGTGCAGGATGATCGTGAGAAGCCTGGGGTAGTGGCGGCAGCCAGGGAGCAGAGAGCGCAGCAGGAACCCGGGTGGAGGACGCACATGCAGACAGCACCCCAAGCCCCAGCGAAGCCGCCACCCGGCCGGCCGCCCACGCAGCGTGTACACACCTGACGTCCACCTTCCTCCTGAGGGCCAGCGAAAGAGAAGCAGAGAAGGAGGAGCTGAGAGAGGGCAGGAGGCACAAGCCAGGGCGCAGGAGCTAGGGGGCTGCAGGACGGGCACCACACCGCCCTCTGCTGGCAGCTCCGCGCGGCAGGCGGGACCCCCCACTCCCACACTGTTAAGTCTCCTTTGGGGTCCGCAGAAGGGGCACTCACGTGTTATTGACAATCTGGAGCCGCTCCCCTTTCTTGAAGGATAGATCGGTCTCTGTCCGGGACTCGTAGTCATAGAGGGCCACAAAGGTGGTCACTCCACCTGCAGGGAAAGGTAGGGGGCTGTCAGAAGGGTGGAGGGGCGCAGCACCCAGGAGCTTGGGGTCGTCCTGTCACCCGCCAGGACACGTTCACGGGGGCGGGAGCTGTGCACGCCTGAGTGTCCCTGTTGATATCTGTCTTGCTTGAACAACCAGACTACTCCCCTGACAACAGGATTCTTTTTTCTGATCCCAGAGCCAGGCACACAGTAGGTGCTCAAAAAAGAGAGCCGAGGCGCTGGGGAAGGCGGAACCCCGCTCCAAGAGGGCGCCCACCTGCTTCTGGGTGTGCGAACCTGGTGTGTGAGGCGAGCCGGCTGCGGGTGACCGTCCCCTCTTGTCCTCCTTGCTAAAGGAGCCCTTCCACTGCCAGCTGCCCTCAGCACCCACGAGCCCTTCTGCCCTTCTTCCTTCCCCGGGGTTTGCTCCTCCACGTGCCCGGCGGAGCGTGGCACACTCGGCGCCACAGCTGGAAACGCACGGGTGTGTCTGAGGGGTTCCTGGTCCGAGGGGTTCTGCACCCGTGTGTGAGGGCTGGGGGTGCACACCCGGTGCACACCCTAGGTACGCGCCCCCCAGGGGTCTCCGCGTGCTGCGCCCAGCAAGCGCGACCGGCAGCCGAGCGTGGCCTCGGGCTGCGGTGCCCCGCGGCGCCCGCAGAGGGCGCACAGAGCCCGGCCGGGAGGGCCCCCACCCCCGCCTTCCGCTCCGGACCCCGCAGTGCCCTTCCCGCCCGCGGTCCCTGGCGAGGGGACACTGACCGGCCAGCGGCCCCGCGCGCTGCGGGGAGGTGACGGTGTCCGAGGAGTTGAAGCCCCCGAAGAGCTTGGGCTCGGCGGCGGCCGGGGCGAAGGCGGCGGCCGGCCCGCGGTGGCCATCGGCCGAGGCCGGCTTGCTGGGCGTCTGCGAGGCGGGGAAGGCGCCGCCGCCTGGGCCGTGCGCGCTCTCGGTGGGCTCCAGGCTGCGCCGCCGCGGGCCGGCGTCCTTGGGCTTGCTCTTGTTGCTGCCCATGGTCCTGGCTGGGGACAGGGGACCGAAGTGTTGGGCAGAGATTCAGGGCGCCCCCACCCACTCAGCTGGCGGGAAACTAAGACCCCGAGATGGGGCCTGGCCTCTCCAACCCTCAGTTTCCTCACCTATTAAATAAGCCCACTAATGGCACTCATAAAGGGCTTCCTTGGGCCAGGGGCAGGCATACAAGAGCCACCGGGCAATCCAAAGCCCTGGCCTCACCCACCTCACCTTACGTCACTGTACAGGCCCTCTTGGACAGGGGTACTGAGTCATATCTATATCCCCAAAACTGACACAGGAGAGATTTACTGCTATTTTGTCGAATTGTTTGACCAATGGAAAAGGTCTAATGCTGGAGAAAAGACACTAAAAGTGGCAACTGAGGCAGCAGTACAGCAGGAGGCGCAGCCACAGGGCCTTTGCACACTATTTCCATTGCTGAAAATGCTCTTCCCTTATACAGTAGGGGTACTCATGCCTCCTTCAGTTCTTGGCTCAAAAGTCACCTCCAAACTGGGCACACGTTTAATCCCAGGACTCTGAGCAAGAGGATCACAAGTTTGAGCCCAGCCTAAGCAAATTAGCAACTTCATGAGATCCTGTCTCAAAATAAAAATTAAAAAGGGCTGGGGATATAGCTCAGTAAGAAGGTCCTGAATTCAATCCCCAGCACCACACAAAAAAAGTTACCTAGATAGAAAGGGTTCCTCCAATGCTTACACTGTGTTAAATCCCTCAGCTTTGAGGGTCTCCTTGATCACACGTTGCCCTGTTTTTAAAAAATTCCTGTGATTGTGTGACTTTTGCCATGAGCTTCCATCTCCTGTTCACCACCACGTGTTCACAGTGTTTTTAGTGTGGCACAGAGCAGGTGCTTAATAAACTGCTGAATGATTGAATGACTGAAAGAGGGATGAACGAATGAGTGAATGACTGACAATTCAAGAGTTAACAGAGACTGAGCCAGAAATCTGGGAGCCTCGGAGATCGAGAAAGAAGGGGAAGCAAGATGAACATTTGCCCACGACACCCACGGCCCTGTCATTTCCTACCTGCGCCCTCCTCATCCAAGGCCCGGCTGGCCCCACTCCTCACCCACCACAGCAGCCCAAGGCATCACCTCACCTGGTGGAAGGCAGTGCTGTCCCAGAGGATCTGGGAAGCAGCCTGGGGTCTTGGCACGAACACCAGGTGGGCCTAGGACTAAGGACCCTGCTCCACCTCTCCCGGCTGTGTGTCTGTAGACAAGTCACTTCCCCTCTCTGGGCCTCTGCGTCCTCATCTGCAGAGCAGGGAAAAAGCAGACACACTTCTCAGGGGCAACCACAGAGAGATGCTGCAGCATTCTCAGTGCTGGCTCACTCATCGCCAGGCCCTGCTGGGTGGCCCTGGAGCCTCCCAGACCACATCCAGGAGCAGAGACCAGGCAGGGTCCCCCACGGCAGCGGCAGCAAGGGCTCCGGAGCCAGGTCCTTCACCGCTTACCCTGCTTCACCCCTAATCATCGTACAGGCTTCCCTCAGGTCCCATGTTCTCCTCTGCGGTGGGGAGGTGGGATTTTGACAACTGAGGCAGTAAGGGTCACTCATGCGACACCCTAACCACACCATTGGGGAGGGTCCTGGGTGCGCTCTGAGATGGTGACAGCCCCAGAGGACTCCTTCAGAGCACCCGAGAGCAGGGACGAGTCCCCTGCAGGCCAGTCTTGGGCAAGGCCATGTGCCCACAGCACAGCCTCCCCAGTCACCGCCAGGCTGCTCAGCGGCACAGTAGAGTATGGCCCACATCATGTGGGGACATTGTGGCCTTTAGACTCCCTGGGGACAGTGTGGCTCAGAGAATGTGGGGTGGTGGTGGTTAGGGAGACCCGAGAAGATCACCAGTGCCTTAGGAGGGTCAGGCCAGTCAGCCTGGGGACGGACATTGACTGCAAAGCCAGTTTCCATGGCAACACATTCCATCCAGGTCAGGGAGCCCGTTGGAAAAGCCCCTCGGTCCCCAGAAACCTGCTGACCGGGTTACCCACAGCCACAGGCTAGAGGAGGTCACACCCTCACCCAGCCCCCTTCTTGGCTCCCTGGCAGGGGGTGGCTGGTCAGGCCTCCCCTACTGTCCCTGATAAAATGGAAACTATGACCCTTCAAAATGGACTTGGCTGGGGCGTGGCTCAATGCTTGTCTGGCAGGCACCAGGCCCCTGTTCCATCCCCAGAGCCACACAAGCATGCACGAGAACATACACACGCACATGCACATACACATACACACACATGAATGGATTCTGCAGACTACAGGAAGATATGAAGAACAACAAGCTGCCTGTGACCTGGTCCTTGAAGACAGCCACCAAGTGCTGACGGGTCTGCTCTGACCAAAGAGGAACTCGGGGTACAAGCAAAACAGATCTATCCAGCACCCTCGATAGAGCTCCCTGTGAGCAGGGTGGGTGAGATCTAGTTCCATGCCCTCTGCAACCAAGCTGGACCTGGCACCTAGGGGCTCTGAGGTGCCAGGATGGCACAGAAGTACAGTGTGCGTCCTGCTCTGTCCCTGTAATGTCACACCGTAGCGATCATGTATCATTCTACACATACAAGCATTCCCTGAACTCAGACCTACTGTGCCTTAGTCTAAGCACTTTGCAAATATTGATGCGCCAAATCCTCATGATAATCTAGGAGGTAAATACTAATAGTGTCCTTATTTTATTGACAAAGAAGCTTAAGCACAGAGAGTTTAAGGACCTGGCCTGAGATGACACAGCATGTATGAGTGAAAAGAAAGTTGGGCAGGAATCCCCACAAGGGCAGGCAGGAATCGGAGGCTGCTCATAGGTCCAACCTCTGCCCACAGCCCTCTCTCGGTGGAGCAGCCAGATTCCCTGGGCAGAATGAAGGAGCAGATAAGGCAGCCTAGTCCTGCACCTGGACAGAGCCTGGCTTTCAGCCTACAGGAGGGCAGAAGATGCTTGAGGAAGAGTGGCGGTCTAGTCTCAATGAGGCCACACCATGCGGGGCAGCCTCCCTGGAAGAGACCACCCTTTGGGAACTCAGACCTCAGAGCTCTGCTCCTGCCCACAGGAGGAGGTGGGAATGTGGCATCCTGGATGGCCCAAACACAGTGTCACCATGACTTACCCACTTGAGGAAAGCTATACCGCCATCTCCTCCACCATCTGCACACTCCCAAGTAGAGAGGGGCTGAGGGGAAGCGGGGAGGGCCATGCACAGGGTTCCTGGAGGTTCCCAGAGGAAGGTGCTGGCTCTGGCTCCTCCCTGGACAGAGGCTACACTATTGCAACCCCCTGGGGGCCAGAATTTGGTCCCACACCTCCCCTCTGCAGCCTCACGGGCCCCAGATCCTGATCAGACTTTAGCGTCTCTCAAGGCCTGCATCCCCCACCATGCCCATCACAGACTCGGCCACCGCATGATGCCCACCCTGCTTGGGTGGTGACTCACCAAGTGTCTGCAGCGCCTTCCACATGCTGGGCTTTCACTAGGCTCTGCCCCTGGGGAGCCCTGAGGGAGCACCAAAACCCGTCCAACCCAACCCTCTCCTCCCAGCTCCATTCCTCAGGCCAGGGCTCAGGGTCCTCCTGGTGCCCTGCTGCAGCAGGACTGATCCTCCCAGCACCCTCCCCTGCAGCCAGCAGCATCTCTGCAAGCCACACAGATAACCAGAAAAAACCCTTGTTAACACTCTTCATGGAGAGCGAGTAACAACCTGAGTGTCCAGCAGAGGGGGGAATGGCCAAGTAAACAGTGGCCAGTTATCCAGGGGATATCTGTGCTGCTATCAGGAAGAACTATGGCACACACCAATAATCCCAGCTACTGGGAGGCTGAGGCAGGAGGATCATAGATTTGAGGATAGTCTGGGCAATTTAGCAAGTTCCTGACTCAAAATTAAAAAAAAATTTTTTTTTTTTTGTCTTTTTCCTTTTTATCGGTACCGGGGATCAAACTCGAGACTGCCTGCTTGCAAGGTAAGCGCTTATGCCGCTGAGCTAAATCCCCAGCCCCAAAGTAAAATTTTTTTAAAAAGGGGACTGAGGACAAGGTTTACTGACAGGACACTTGCCCAACGTGTGCAAGGCCCTGAGTTCCATCCCAGTACAGAAAGAGTAGGGGGAGGCAGAGGAGGGAGAAGAACCAGAGCTCTGTGTGGCATAAGAACATGCCCACGACACATGTGACATGCAGAGAAGAAAACAATGGTGTAGCACCTCCTCTGGGTATCATGGAGCCTCAGTTTCCTCATCTGGAAAATGGGGACAGAATGCTACCTACACTGCAGGGTTGGGAGATAACTAAATGAGCTAACACATGCAGTGGGCCTCATGTGCCAGACACACAGCAAAGAAAGCTGGCTCTCATTTGTGCATTTGTGTGTGGACATGCACACATACACGCACATGCGTGCACTGGAGGGTTAGACAAAAGTCTGGAAGGATTCCAAACTCTTCACAAAACGTTTCATCCAAGAGGTGTAGGACGGGGAGAAGAAAATCCCATGTCTTTTTACTTTATATCCTGTATCCACTGACAATTGGAAATTATTTCAGCCTGTGTTTTTTTTAAATGAGACTTTTTAAAAACACAGTTGAAGACTTCCTTCCCATCACCCCCGGGACGAGGCCGATAGCCCTGTAGCCTACGTGGCTGCCTCACCTCCCGGTGCAAGTGGGTCACAGCACCCCGTCGGTCCCCTCCCTGAGGCCCCTCCCTCTTCTGAGGCCCAGGGAGGCAGCAGCTCTGCCACCCAGTGAGGGCTTCGCCAAGCCTGGGCCCGAGTCCTGGCACGTGACTTACTGGCCACGGCTTCCTGGGCAAGTGGCTCTGCCACTGTTTTCTCCTCTCCCTCATGGGGATAACAGGCACTCACAGCTGAGAGCCAGGGGAGCCCATGCACCCCGCCAAGAACAAGTGTGTGATCAACAGCGCACGATGTGTTTTTCTGCTGTCGTTGTCACTGCAGAGGATAAGGGGAGCAAGGCAAGAGGACAGGAGAGGAGGTGGCAGGGCTCTGAACGCCACGCACAAGCTGAGCTGGTGCCCACAGCATAAGGAAGCAGAGACCACAGCTTCCCTCACTTTATAGGTGGGACCCAGGTTCAGAGATGCTAGAAACTCGCCCGACGCCACACAGCAAATGAGTGCACCAGAGCTGGGTGCTCAGGGTTCAGGAATGTGGTCTCGCCAGGCGCCTCTGCTGCACACCCACTGCGCTGATGGCCCCCACTGCACAGGGTGAGGCTGATCTCAGCCCCTCCCAGGAAGCGGAGGTACAAGGAGGAGCCAAAATCACAGGGCGGGAGTCAGACACCTGGTGCAGACAGCAGGCTGGCCCCGGGGCCCCGAGTGGGCCTCTGTCTGCCCCTCTAACATGGGAAGCGGCGTGGGTTTTTCCTAACAACTGGGCTTGTTGTGCGGAGAACATGGGGTTGTAGTTGAGAAGTGCCTGGCCCATAGCGAATGCTCAGTAAATACCAGGGGCTAGTGTCATTCCTAGGAAAGATCTTTTCTGGGTTTTGTCCCCTCTTCTAGTCACTCTCTCAACTAGACAAAGGCCTTGCGACGCCCTCCTGCATGCCAAACCCATGCGTAGCCTTTGATGAGTAAGACCCTTCGCAGGGAAGCAGTCCAGAAAAGCCAGGCCTGTTGCTAGGAGCTGAGTGTGTGTTCTCTTGAAATCCTGTGTTGAAGGCCTAATCCAAGGGGTATTTGAGGCCAAGCTTCTGGGAGGTAATTAGGTCCTGAGGGTGGAGTCCTCAGGGTGGGATGAGTGCCCTCGTGAGCAGAGGCCCCCAGAGCTCGCTGGCCCTGTGCCACGGGAGGACACAGCTGGAAGACTTCATCAGATGTTCATCTACCCGGGTCTTCACCGTGGACATAGCAAATCTTTTAATTACCTTGTTTTTAAGTGATTCATAAAAATTGTATGTATTTATGGGATACCATGTGATGTTTCCACGCATGGTGGTTGTTTTGGGTTTTTCTGGCTTTACCTTTTGCAGTGCTGGGGAATGAATTCATGCTACTGCACCACACCCCCAGCCCTAGGTAACGTTTAAATCAGATTAGGTAACTCCTCAAACATCTATCACTTCTTCGTTGCAAAAACATCCAAGCTCTTTCCTTCAGGCCTTTTGCTTCTGTTTTTATTTTTTTACAGTGCTGCAGATACCCAGGACCTCATGCATATGGAGGTTAGGGCTCTACCGCTGAGCCACACCCCAACTTTTCACATTTTTTGAAATAAAAAGGACATCACTGTATTG